TTTTTGTTTCCCGTTTACTTTTTTTTTTTTTTTTTTTTACAACCAAAACTAAGTCTGTCCTCCAAAGCATTCAAGATTTATGACAGTTTAAGTTGGAAATTTCATTTTCAGGTATATGCTCAGAAAGTGGTAACAGGCAATAAATATATCATAACTAATCCATAAATATAATTTTGTACCTTAAAATCCCCTAAAAATAAAAAAACACTATTGTTTATTGTAACACTAAACACAATAAAAAAACTATTGAACTTGGAAACAAATCATAATTTTTGACTGAGAGCAGTACCAGATGGTTAAAGATGCAGTTACATTAGCAAAATTCTGAAGGCAAATAAAGGTCCATTGTCAATAGTGTAGCGCTGTATGAAGCACAGCTCACACAGAAGTCACTTTCAAACCAAACATTTGTTCGTCAACGTGCAATTCACATGGCTGACTTGAATCCGTTGCAAAATTTGCGTGGGGAAATCTTTCGTGCCTCACATGAAAATCACAATCGGCTGAATTACTATTGAAATAACTGGATTTAGCCCACAAACATAAAAAAATAAAATAAACAAATGTGACCGCACCTTCATGCTAATGTCAATGCTAAAATATTAGCATTCAATTAGGGTTGGAATCTCTCACCTGACTAACTCATACGTCTCTCCTAGCAGGGGGTTGAAGGGTTTACCCGTCCTTTCCCACTGAGACGCCACGGCTGATACAGCAAACGCGGCCACACACTGGATAGAAAATACATGCATTTGTTTACTTAGAAAATAAATATTAGAAATCGACAGGTTAGACAGTTTTTCATCCAGGCAGCTATTAGAAGAGATTTGACAGGACTTTGAGATCCAAGAAATATCTGTTTAAAATGCATTAAACAGCCTAATGAAAAGTTAATAAAATTGGAAACTTTGGCAAATGGACATTGTAGTTATTTTTTAACTACAATAAGTAATAATTATAGCTCAGTATATATGGGTTTTTGTCAATTTTGAGAGCAATGTAGGTGATCGCCAATATAAAGTATGGTATAAATGTTGTCAAATGATCAATCGCATCCAAAATAAAAGTTTATGTTTACATAATATATGTGTGTGTACTGTGTATATTTATTATGTATATAAACACACACATACAGTATATATTTTAAAAAATATTTACATGTGTATATTTATACTATATATAAATATATTTAATATATAAACATAACATATTTTTTCTTAAATATATACATGCATGTGTGTATTTATATATACATAACAAATATATACATTACACACATATGTAAACAAAAACTTTTATATATTATGTAAACAAAACCTTTATTTTTATTTTATAGATTAATCGCAATTAATCGTTTGACAGCACTAGTTATCAAATAATTAATGATGGTATATGAATGAAAAAAAAAACTGGCAAATTTATAATACATTTATTACTAAAGGTTATTTATTTTACAAAATATTTAATAACAAAATTATTAATTAAATAAAAATAATTCAACTAATATTTCAAGTTGGGAGAGTTGGGTGATTATTTGGCCACATTTCATAGTTATTTAGCATGTTAGGCCTGTAATGGTTTTGTTGATGTTCAGATACTTCGGGGTCATGCAAATATTTGTATTTTTTTTACCTTCATTCTCTCAATAGAGTCGTCTGAAGTATTGGCCTGATGGATGAGATATGTGTGCTCCATATATTCTGTAAGTCTTTGTAGAAAGCTCAGCGGCTCATTAAAAATAACAGGCATGGTGATCTTAGACAGCTCCTGAAAGAGAGATGGAATCAGTCAAAATATGGTGCTTAATTAAAGTGTTTTGACTGAAAAAGACACATGATAGTATGATAGTAAAAAGCTCACCATCCCAATGCACTTCCTCAGTATGCTCCAGATGCTGAAGTCATTTCTGGAGAACATGGGTGCTGGTAAACTAGTCCTGTGGAATAATTAAAGGTAACTGAGCTGTGCCTTGTCAGCTTCTGAAAAATGTCTGTTTACATTAAGAAACCACTAAAAAAAGGACTAGTTAGTTGTTTCCATGGAAACCGTTTCTGCTGTTGTCATGCAGACAGAACACGTATAGACTGGCATTATTATTAGTCAGGTAACGGAAGCTTTATATCTTATTCAACAAAGCAAGGCCAGAGTCCCGATCAGTTTCAAAGTGCTCAAGACACAGAAACCTGCTCTTTTTATACTGTACCTGCTGAATGTAAACATAATAATAAAGAGATGTGGTTACTTGTTGCATTTTTTGCATTTTACAGGGGTAATATTCAATAATTATTTATAATGTTATGGCTGATATTAAAATATTATACACTTTACACAACTTAAAAACATACACAAGTTTAACTTAAAAGCATAATAAGTTTATAATAATACATACATAGTGCTATCACAACAACGTAATGTACAGTAAAAGATTTGAAAAAAAAAAGATTTGTGAAAGATGAAATGTTACAATAGTGTTATTAATTTATTTGTATTTTTAAAGATTATTTTTAAGTAAGTGTTAGATGACAGAAAGTACACTACTGTTCAAAAATTTGGGGTCAGTAATAATATTTTTGAAAGACGTCTCTTAAGCTCACATTTATTTGGTCAAAAATACAGTAAAATCAGTAATATAGTGAAATATTATTACAATTCAAAAGAACTGGTTTCTATTTAAATATATTTTAAACTGTAATTTTTCCCTGGGAAACAAAGCTACATTTTCAGCATCATTACTCCAGTCTTCAGTGTCACATGATCCTTCAGAAATCATTCTAATATGCTGATTTAATAACATTTCTTATTATTCCTGTTGAAAACAGTTGCGCTGTTTAATATTTTTGTGGAAACGACATTTTTTTCAGGATTGTTTGATGAATAGAAAGTTCAAAAGAACAGTATTTATTTGAAATACAAATCTTTAGTAAGAATAGAAATGTCTTTATTTATATATGTATATATATATATATATATATATATATATATATACATATATATATGTGTGTGCGTGTGTGTATACGTAAATATGTATGTATATATATATATATATATATATATACACACACACACATATATATGTATGTATATGTATATATATGAAACTGTTTACATGTGTGTACTGTGTATATTTATTAATTTATTATGTATATAAACACACACATACAGTATATATTTTGAAACTATTTACATGTATTTACATGTATATATTTATATTCATATAATTTATATTATAGAAAAACATATTTAATATATAAACAACATATTTTTCTTAAATATATACATGCATGTGTGTGTATTTATATATACATAATAAATATACACAGTACACACACATATATTATGTGTTGTCTCTACAAAGTTTCAAGTAGACAGTTGCGCCATTATTTTCTGCAAATAATATTAATATGAATTAATTCATATAATGTATTTATGGCATTTTAATCCATGTTATAGAAATATTTATGTATGTATTTTTTCAAACTGTTTTTAATTATCTGAAATATTCTTTAAAAATGAACAAAACATAATTTTCACTGCCAGCATTCATCTTTGTTGTCGTTTATGTAAACAATACAACCTTTTTCATCTCGTAAATAACACTGTCACATGATCCAAACAACAAAATAAAATGAATCATTTAATCTTTAATTTTAGTATTACATAGCCTCATTGTCTGTACTTGTAAAATGTTTGTAATATATATTGTAAAGTTTTCAATGTATGTTTAAAAGTTGATATATATATATATATACAGTGGGTACGGGTGCTGTGTGTACATTAATGAGGAAAAAAAATTAACTTAAATGATTTTAGCAAATGGCTGCAATATAACAAAGAGTGAAAAATTTAAGGGGGTCTGAATACTTTCTGTACCCACTGCATATACACACACACACAGTATTTTTCTCCAAACACTACAATAAAAATTACATTTTCCAATATGTATTTCTTAAATACTTATTTTTCAACTATTTTTTTTTATCTGCCAGTAAGTCATTCGTCTTTGTAATTGTTTTTTGTAAATAATACAACCTTTTTCTGCTTATAAATAATTCTGTCACATGATTAACAGCTACATAAGGAAGAAAGGATGTGCATTTATCATCAAGATGCGACTTCATCAACAAATCAAGAAGCAGATATCATTTCTCACCTGAAGTGAGTCAGAAAGCTCATGTACAGACACAACGTTGTCTTCCTCTTCCTCGCTGTCTGGGTCTTGTGAGCAGTAATGAGTGCTGAAGGCTGAATGCTCCTCTATGGCCTCCAGCCACCTCTGAACAACAACACACACATTCACACAAACGTACACAACACACTCCGGTCTGGACTACACAACAGAGCTGAAGGGAATCTCACTTTTCTGATGGCTTCGGGGTTGTTCTTCTGTGACACTTTGAAATGGTGAACACTGTTGTCAAAGCACTTGATCGTGAAATAGCTGTTATCTTTCGCTTTAATCTGACAGTTGGAAAGAAAACCTGTTAACAATCCCGCAAAACATGAATCAGCATCTTATTCATTTCTATTCATTTCATCAAATCAATCTTACCATGCACTGCGCTTGTGTTAGAGGTTTGCAAGCTTGCCGGTGTGTGTTTGAATCTGCATCTGACCTTGATGAGTTAAAAATAGTGAAAAGTTGCTAAAAAAATGACAGTTGCCAAATATTTATTTCTGCAAATTTTGAAAAATAAGTTAAGTAATTTTGATACCATTAAAAAGTATTATATATATTATGACCTTGATGAGTTACACTACAATAAAAATTAGTTTTCAAATATGTATTTTTTCAAATTTAGCAAAATAAGTCTTTAATTTTAGCAATTTGTTTATCATTAACTTTTATTTCATATTATTACCTTGATGGTTTAAAAAAAGGATGAAACTTTACAATAAAAATGACGGTTTTCACATATTTATTTCTTTGAATCTTGCTAAATAATTCTTTAATTTCAGAAATTTTACTGTGATTATATTTTATTATATATTATGAAACTGAGTTAATAAAGGATGAAATATTACAATAAGAATTAGCTTTCAAAGAAAATATGTTTTTAATTTAAGAAATTTTGCTATCATTACATTTTATTACATATTATGACTTTGATGAGTTAATATAAGGATGGAACACTACAATAAAAATTATTGTTCAAATATTTATTTTTTCAAATTTTGCTAAATTAAGTCTTTTATTGTAGCTAGTTATTTTTTATTAAATTTTATTACATGTTATGAACTTGATTATTTAAAAAAGGATGAAACTTTACAATAAAAATTACAGTTTTCACATTTATTTCTTCGAAATTTGCTAAATAACTCTTTCATTTCAGAAATTTTACTGTAATTATATTTTATTATATATTATGAAACTGATTTAAAAATAGTTTTCAAAGAAAAATAAGTTTTTAATTTAAGCATTTTTGCTATCATTACATTTTATTACATATTATGGATATAATATAAGGATGGAACACTACAATAAAAAGTACAGTTTTCAAAGATTTATTTCTTAAAATACTCAAAAATAAGACTTTAATTTCTGAAATTTTGCTATCATTAAATTATCATATATTATGACATTGAAATAAAAAAAATGATGAAAATGAATTGAAATGATTAAATGAAACATAAAAATTAGTTTGATTTCCCAAAATGAGTCTTTAAGCAATTATCCTATCATTAGACTTTATTACATATTATGACCTTGATGAGCTGAAAAATATTGTAAATTTACAATTTTACAGTATTTATTTCTTCACATATGAAACATTACAATTAAAATTGAAGATTTAAAATATTTATTTCTGTACATTTTTCTAAATAAGTCTTTCATTTCAGCAATTTTGCTATCATTAAATTCTATTATATATTATACTTTTATTTTAATCAGAGCATCACATTTTTGGAATAGAGGCAGGTACTCACTGTTTAGGGTACCATGACAAGACTCCATCCTGAAGAACTACCCAGTAGGAGCGCCAGCCGAAAAACCTTGAACTCTGCAATAAAAATAAAAAAGGAAATTGAAATACAGAATAAAAAAGAAATGAAAAAAAAAAAAAATTATTTTCAAAACATAGATTTTGATAAAACATACCTTCCAAAGAGGCCCCTCGAACATTTTAACATGTCGCGTCATGCCCTACAGAAATCAAAGTGTTGTCAAAACGAAACAAAATTCACAAAAAAAGGCACACCACTGTAAATAAGTGTAAAATGAGCAATATATCAGTGTTATGATATGATATGGTGATGGACAAGGTTTTTTTTTAAATGCATATATTTGCATATATTTGTGACATCAGAAATGTCCAGATAAATGAACCTACTTTCATAACATTTCCAGTAATGATCTGCTTCATTTCTGCATCGTTAGCCAAATCAAAAACAGTCTGATCTGAAAACAAATGAGAAACAAAATGCAAAAATTAACATCAGCATGTTTCAGACAACCACAAAAAGTCAGGTCATTCAAATATTTCATAAATTCAAAAATAAAAATCATGCACTGTTATTTTGTTTTGTTTATAACATAATGTGTCATATTCATTTCTAGTTGTACTAAAATAGTAAAAATATGACTATGACAGTAACAAACCTAAAACAACGAAAACAACACACAAGTGTACAACGAATTGAGAAAATATTGGCCTGGGGAAAAACGCAACAGTGTTGAATGCTTTAAAAAAAATGAGGCTGCAGTAAGGTGGAGCTCATTACCAATTTTGTTCTTGATGTTGGGGTTGGCCTTGTGCTGCAGGAGTTTGACGGCACACTGTTTCTGGCCTCTGTAAGCGGCGCAGTGCAGTGGTGTGTTTCCCAACAAGTCCGTGCAATTTATGTTCGGGGGTTTCTTCATGTTTAGCTACATGACGAACCAGAAGATCAGATATTACGGTTTAAAAAAGTAGTTTAGAAACAGAGTAGAACAACAAAGTTCCTCAAAGTAGTTAGCAAGGTTACCAGTCTTGTGAGGGTAGATATGGCTCCTTCTCGCGCCGCCTCCAGCAGCTGCTCCTCTAGTTTCCTCTCTTCAGTCCTCTCAGCAGCTAGAAGATCCAAATTCAATGGTAATAATTTAGGAATCATTCAGCAGACTTTATCCAAAACACATCCAGTACGTTTTCATGTACTTACCCTCCAACATGCTTTTAATCTCAGCACTCTGGGTAATGTCTTTAGGAATCTGGGCCATCCCGTTGATGACAGAAGCGCAAGCGTCGTACTGAAGAAGCAACATTACAACCTCCTACACAGCCAAATCAGCATTCAGTTAGTATTCAGAGTCCAATCAGTGTTCGGCTTTCAGTGTCCAATCAGTATTCAGCATGCAGGCGAGTAGTTATGTTTGTGAAAAATGAGGCTGTACACATTAATATGGCTCAGCTGTATAACACTTATGTTAGTGATCAGCCAAACAAAATGATAACAAATGTGCAGAACTGATTTTTAATACAATAATAATGATCATTAGACTACAAAAATATATTGTTTTTATTTATAATAATAATAATAATAATAATAGAGTATACAAATAGTATAATTAAAGTGTTTAATTAAAATGTAACAAATTTAAATGTTATTTTTTAAATTTATTTTTACATTTGTTAAAATATTATAATTATTAAACTATAATTTTAAATAATACATTATGTTATTAATATATTTTTTAAATATCTAAAATGCTTTATTAATGTAATTAAAAATGTATTCAAATAGAAACTTAAATAATTATTGAATTAAATAATATATATTTAATATATTTATTAATATATTCAATGTATTATGTATTCAGTGTATTTAAAAATAATAAAATTAAACTAAAACATGTTATTAAAAATTATTTAATTATTAAATGATAATATACATTTAATAAGAAATCTGAATATATTTTAATATTATAAAATGTCTTAAAACATTATGAATCATTTTTAAAAATGTACAGTAAAATTCGCCATATATAATTACTAAAAATCATTTAGTTAATAATAATTATCATTACAGCTACACAATATCACAATGTTTTGTGATCTCAAAGTTTGCACATTTTTTTCATCTTTATTTTAGAGCTATCCATTAGGGCTGCTACACATTTTAAAAAGAGTTATTTACTTGCTAAAAACAATTAATCTGTAAATCCAATATTTAAAAACAAAACTTTAGGTAAAAAAAATAAGTCAAACTGATTACCAGTCTGTCTCAAGCTAATATCCATAGTCTCAGTGCATGAACATATACGATACATACTTTTCTCCCAGTGAATGCTGCTTTATGGAGAGGCGTATCTCCGACATTATTTGGCAAATTGGCATCTGCTCCAGCCTGTAAGAAGCACAGAGGAGCTAAAACTAGACACTAATATACTGAGCACAAATTCTACTCATAAACATACCCATGTACACATACTCTATATGAGAATATAAAAGGCTGAGACAATCGATACCTTCAGTAAGGCCTCAACAACATCCTTGTGTCCAAAGTAGCAGGCCAGATGAAGAGGAGTCCAGCCATGATTAGATTTGCTCTTGCCTGACACAACGTAATGCTGTTAGAAGTACTCCAATATGTCTAGAAACATACGAATGGTCAAAAGAAACCTAATGACGTGTTCTACCCTTGCAGTTGATGTCGATTTCGGCCTCCTCCTTTATCTTGGACATCAAAAGCTTCTGGATCCCTTCTAGGTTCCCGTTCCTGGCGTCCCTGAGGAAGTGCTCCTCTGGATCCAGCTCCTCCATCACTTCACCAACAAAACAAAAAAGCATTACAAACCAAAAATCAGAGCCCTGAGTAACAGAGTAAGTGCAGTGTATCTAAAAGGCATTAAGTCTTCCAGGAAACATATGAAGGCGAATTCTTTGAAACATCTGCCATGTGATTTCCTTGTTTAGACTGGAGGAAAACTATGAGCGTCACATAACTCTGCTTTGATACGCATTCATTTTCATTTAAAAGCCATAAACAGAGCAGAACCAACCGTTTAGTGACATAATCAGAAATACCCTTATAATAAAGATCTTGAGAAAAAGCACCAAAGAAAACCTGACAATATAAATCCTTAACCCTATATAGCCTAGTGTATCTTTACTTTTCTTGTGAAAAAGCACCAAAGAAAACCTGACAATATAATAAATCCTTAACAGGTTAACCCTATATAGCCTAGTGTATCATATTTGATAAGTTATCAACATGATCAAAACTACATGCCTTCTGTCATGTGACTGATCGTTTATACTTTTTTTAGCAAATAAAAGACAAACATTTTTCGTTCTTTTTTCTAAAAAGATTTCTTTTTCAAAATCTTTTCTGATTTTTATATCGTAAATGTAAGAGAAACTTATATACTGTTAACAATATTTCAAGATGAACACTCGCTGGACTGAAGCAACTTAGGTTTACCTGATTATCCATACATCATTTTTTAGAAAAATCATGTTAAAATGTGAGTTTCGAATATGATACATCATGTTTTTGAGAAAGATTTCATCTCTCAGTCATCTTTGTATTGCACTGAATTATGTTTTTCCCCTCACAATAAAACCTGACAGAGCTTTGATCATAAAACTAAGCATTTAAATATCATGAAATATATACTGACAACTGATATTTATTTGTGTTTTAGTGCTGTCAAACGATTAATCGCGATTAACAGCATCCAAAATAAAAGTTTTTGTTTACATATGTGTATACTGTGTATATTTATTATGTATATATGCATGTATGTATTCAAGAAAAATATGTAATATTTGTATATTAAATTTATTTATATATAATATAAATTATATAAATATATACATCTAAATATTTTCAAAATATATACTGTATGAGTGTGTATTTATATACATAATAAATATACACAGAACACATATATTATGTAAACAAAAACTTTTATTTTGGATGCGATTAATCGTGATTAATCGTTTGACAGCACTAGATGTAAGTAGTCTGTTATAAATATCTCATTGATTTACATTAGCTATCAGAATTTCATCGTAACATTTTGGCCATTTACAGTCAATTTAATATCTTTCCTCAGAGTTTAGATGTTTTTTTCTCCCTCAAGTATGAGCTGAAAAAAAAAGAAAGATACTCAACGAAAACACATATGAAAACGATTTCTTTTTAGATTTTGTCTAAAGGTTTAATAAACTGTTCCACTTAAAAAAAACATTGATTATTATTTCATATGTCAGGCTTTACAGGGTTAATATTATGTCGGCCTCTGAAGCAACAAAGCAGGAAAAATGTCTTGGTATGCAGATTAACAACGCCACTTACGCAATAACCGTTTGGTGGAATGTAGGTCAGTAAGTTACGCTAAAAAACGTGTAATATATACGTTTAAGAGTCAAACTAGGTCTAAACCACAAGTGAACTGAATAAAAAAGGTTAGAAATCATGCGCATTAGTGTTTCCAAGACCAACTGAATGCATCAAATTCCAAAAGCTGAGCGAACTGTCAATCATTTCCCGGAAAGAACTAGTTACACTACAAACTTATGAAATTGTCTATAACGGTTGTAAATAAATAGCTTGAGGGAGCTCAGGGACGATAAACTCGTAGCGTATAGCAGTAAAGTCGACTGTGTACTGTCATGTGACTTTCTGGACTTCTTAAGACTTGATACTAACTTGTCTGAGCATATCATCACCGGGATTGTTCAACTTGATCAACCTGTCTTCATCCGATTGCTTCATAATTTTTGGAGTAACTTTATGGGAACTGACACTTAAAACGATAAAACTAGCTAACCATTCTAAAAGGTATGGAAGATAGTTTCTATACACTGAATCTTTCCGTTTATTTACATGATGCGAATATTGGAGACCTTCATCAGGATGTGGGTTTAATTACCACTTAATTAGGTGAGATGTGGTCATGAGCTGCAGTCAAAAATAAAATATGCAAACAGGAATAACAAAAATATATAAAATCCAAATAAATTATATAACTCAGTTATATATAGCCTAATATATATCATATATAAATTAGGACATATCTCTTTAACACTAATAAATACTAAAATCCAGACGCACCGCTGTAAACATAGCTTATATATTAAAAAACTAAAATGGAAATATATTTGCACAAGTTCTAACTTAAAAAAGAAGAAATATAAAGAAGACTTGCCTGTTTTTAAAAGTTAAAGCAAGACTTCGAGACACGCTACCATCCTTGATCGAGAGATACTCCGCAATAAAAACTTAAATGCATTAATTAAAAAGAAAAAAGATTTCCATAAATTGTGCTTTATCGTAGATTTGACAGAGCATGTGATGCCCGCTTCCTGTTTGTGAAACTCACACATGTGAGTCTTTGCTAATAGTGCAAAGTTCTTCACTCTTTGCTAATAGTGCAAAGTTCTTCACAAGCATCTTCAGCAAACATCTTACAATCTGTTGTGCAACTCCATACAGACTGTGCTCGTGAAGTCAACGCAAACACAAACTAACATCATACAGAAATATGTAAATAAATAAACAGCTGAGTGACAACACGCATGAGGACGATGCACTTCCGGTTTTGATGACAGTAAACAGCTACGATAAAAGTGTTCTACTACTACTACTATTACTACTACTACTACTACTAATAATAATAATAATAATAATAACAGTGTTAAGAAAAGTTAACGATTATACGGACAAACAAACAAATAAATAAATACAATTTATGCGTTATTTATTTATTTTTCTCAGCTCTCTGTTGTTTATGGCTCTTATTTTGAAATGGCTTGCGGAAGTGAGTTAGTTGCGTTATCAGTATTATTAGTATGGAGGGGTCCGTAGCAGACGGCGTGTTAGCGCCTTTACCTGGACGATGTGCTTTTTATGTAGCAAAAAAGAAACGATACTGCAAGATGATCGTTGGAAGTGGGAAAAACTTCTGCGGGGAACATGCAAATGCTGTATGTGAATGAAAATACGTTATAATGTCAATGTTGTGCTGCTCTGAATGGATGCGCGCACTACTACTTACCTTACCCCTATTAATATTAGTTTATTAATAAGTTACTGTTTGCTCAAACTTTGATGTCATTTCCATGTAGGGTGAAGAGAGTGAGAAAAAACGAATACCCTGTCCTTTGGACCCCAAACAGTAAGATGTTCACTCTTCTAATAAGAAAGTTTTCGTAGTGTTTAAAAATGAAGTAGTTCAGTCTAAACTGAATCAAAAGAAATTATTCCAGAGTTTCAGATTCATGCATATAGAAATGTTATATCTGGCTTGAATATTTCGTAATAAATGAATGAATATGATAATTGACCAATCTGGAAGTGAATTAATGAATTATGACTGGTGTCAAACAGATTTTTAGCTACATCAGTTAAATTGCCTCAGTCAGATAGAAAATGTTACTATTAACAACATAGCCATATTTTGCATTTTAAGGACTTGATATAAATATAAGTTGATATAAGTATCAACTTGATATAAATATATGTAATTATTTTACTTTAAAGACATATTCGGAACCTAAAAATGTGTATTTTAAAAATAAACTCTGTATCCTTCTGTCATATAGTCAACATGAAATATTAAGGTACAGTCTGAGGTGGTTTTAAGGGTCATGTAATTAAAAAAAAAAAAGTAATAAAGAGAAATCAAATTAATTGTACATTTGTGTTTAGAACATTAGTGATCATCTCTGGTTAAAAGTTAAATTTTGATTATTCCTAAAAGAGTTTTGTCCCATGTCTCGGTGGCAGACTTTGAACTTTTATGTTGTTATATTTAAAAATCTTCTCTCCTGTTTTAAACAGCACTGTATTTGAAGATAATTTGGCTAAACACCTGAAGAAATGTAACTCTAAGGAGAAACCAAAACCTGTATGTATAAATAACTCCATTTACCCTTATTTTTTGAGTGATGTTTTTCTACATTAGAAAAAAAAAATCCATGTGGCATAACGCAATGTTTGTTGTGTAAATGACACTGCTATGTTTGATTTGTTTATATTAGATATATTATGTGAAAGACATAAATGCTGGTTCTGCAAGTGAAGGTGAAACCATAGAGGAGGTGATCGTATTGCTTATGAGAGCATGTGTATCTAAATTTCATGGCTTTAAAGAATAGATATGTGCTTAATAATGATGCATCAATGCAGATAACCATCGCTGAACGATCTAAAGAGGAACTGGATGAGCTGATTGTAAAACTCAAAACTGCACTGACAGGTATGCAACTGTCACTTGAGTTTTATCACATGACTTAAATCTGGTTATATCATCGTTTTATGTAATTATTAATGGATTCGTACATGTTTGCCTGTTCCCTCAGGACTAAATACCAAACTTGTTGAAAACACACTCTCACATTCTGCTCTTTATGAGCCTCTAAATGACCCAAAGAATGGAGATTCTGCCTTTAAACACCTCAAGCAACAGGTAAATTACTCTAAAACTGCCAAACCACACATACTATATAAAAAGTCTTTGTTTATCCTTATTTTCAAGAAATGTTACCCGGTTTCACAGGCCTCGATTCTTGGAAACATGGAGGTTTTGGAACTGCTCAGCCCAAACAGATGCTACATAGAGTTTGGAGCAGGGAAGGGAAAACTGTCCCACTGGATTCACATCGCTCTTAAAGCAGCTGAAAATGTCCATTTTTTACTTGTGGAAAGGTCCAGTACTCGCTTTAAGGTGTGGTGTCATTCACATGAAGCTATTCTTTCCTCAAGTACAGGAAAAAATATTGTTCTTTCTACTGGAAAGTAAGGTTAAATTTCAATTTCATGTCTTTTTAAGGTAGATGGCAAGCACAAAAATGCAGGCTCAACTTTTGATAGGCTTCAGGTTGATATTCAGCACCTTGATTTACGTGAGTTAGCTTCTTAAACTAGTCCTAATGGTCTTAATCTTAAACTTGATCTTCTCATAAATAAGATTTCTTCTTTGTACCTTTCAGGGAATGTCCGTCTTCTGAGAGAAAAAGGACTTCCTGTTATTGGTGTTGGGAAGCACCTGTGCGGTGCAGCAACTGGTAGACAAGATTTCAATAAACTTCATTACGGTATCAGTACTACAAGATTGAGTTTTGTCAACTTGTCTCCACAGATCTGGCCCTTCGGTGTTTATTTGAGCACAGCTGCTCCGACGAAGATGATGAACCTCCAACCAAGCGTGTAAAGCTCCATCAGAATGAGGGTGCTTGTGATGATATTAAACCTGTTCCCTCAACCGAAGGCAGGGAAACTGGTAAAAAGCTCATAGTGTCAGGACTGGCTATCGCTCTTTGCTGCCACCACCGTTGCGACTGGAGACACTATGTGGGAAAAGAGTTCTTCAGGCAGAAAGGTCTTGGACCGGAAGAGTTTGCTGCCTTTCAGCGCATGTCGAGCTGGGCCACATGTGGGATGAGAAAATTTGGCTCCAAGATAACAGAAAAACCAAGCGAACATAAAAGAGATGAAGAGGAAGAACATGAGATGAGCGAGGAAGCTTTACCAGATACCCTCAACGGGTGAGTTTTCTGGTGATCGACCGATTCAAATTGCATTAAGATAATGATCTCATTTGTAAACGTTTTTCTTGCAGTTTGATGTCAGTTGAAGATCGGGAACAGATCGGACGGCTTTGTAAACGTCTGATTGACCACGGCAGATTGTATTACCTCCAGCAAAAAGGCTTTAAAACCAGCCTGAAATACTACACAAGCAGAGACGTTTCATTGGAGAATGTGTTACTAACTGCCATTCCCACAGCCAATTAGAATAGAAATCTCAACAGCCTTTTTAAAACAAACAAACAAGCACAAGTGTAGGACACATATGCTTCATTTTATTTCATCAGTGTTTATAGATTTTTTATTTTTTGCTCATCCACAAACATTAGTTACGACATACTAGCAGGAAGCAGCAACTCCAACAAACAGCATAAAAGACAAGACATTTAAAAGACGAGAAGTGCTCTTCATAGAACTTGGCATGATGGACCGGAAGATCAAGCCTGAAGGCGGACGAGCAGACAGAAGCCAGCATGCAAATTACAAAGACGATGCTGTTTCTGACACGCCATCCAACGTCACATTTAGCACTGATGTGAAAGTTTGGGATCCTGCAAGAAACATTTAACGCAGAAGTTGGTCGTTAAGAGGCTTTCAAGGCTTTAATTTCTTGTCTGTTTTATTTATGCAACATTTTATGATAAAGTTCTGTTAACAGTTTTGCACGCAATACATATTGAGTACGACATAACCTCTTTTCCGGGCCTCTTGGATGTAGAAGTGCATGAAGTCACGACCAAACATCTCCCTGTCATTCTCTTCTTCATCTACATTCTCTTTTAAATCAGGAAGCATCACATCATATTCAAAGGATTGTCTCGGAAATTCACAAACCTGCAGAATGAGCATTTTAAGCGTAGTAATTGTAATAATTTGTCAAATGCGCAAGTATGCAGACACAAATGCTTCACTGGTGTTTTGCAACTCAGTCCAAGAAGTAATTGCATTCCCATACTTGCATGAAATAGGTTTCAGGCGTTCCTATAGAATCACTGTTTTGCTTTAATTAAGCTTTTTATTGGTCCCCAATGAAGTTCTACAAATTGAACACAGTACTTTGGTGCTTACCTGAGGTTACTCATGCCCTCCATAAGTGGAGGAATGTCTCGTAGTTTATTTTTGCTCAGAACTAGTGTGTCCAGACTTTGCATGCGACTGATATTGTCTGGCAGGTACTCTAGTTCATTTCTTGGGAGCCACAGGGTGTGAAGTTTCTCCATTCTAGATTAAATTGGGACATAAAGTTCATAGGATTTATTACAAAATCTTGGTTCTATTAGTAGTACATTGAAAGTAAAAATGATCCGAAGTTGCTTGTAGTTTATTTTTTACCTGTGAATATCTTCTGGCAAACTTTCCAACCTGTTGCTGCCCATGTCTAACCACTCTAGAGAAGGAAGGTTGACCACACATTCTGGAATGGTGGTGAATTGGTTCATGGAGAGGTCCAAGTGATACAGCTTCTTTAGATTGCTAAGCTAAGGAAATTAGATCAAAGCAAGCACAGGTGGTAGGTATATATAGAGTTTTAAAGACAAAATATGGCGTGTATATATACACGTGTTCAATGTTATTGATACCTGAGTAGGCAGCTCATCCAGATCTTCGTTCATTGCAAGTTCCAGTTTCTCCAGATTTTCGCAACAGCCAAGTTCTTCTGGTACATGGCTTACTCCGTTATAGCTCAACAACAGCTCTCGTAACCGAGTTAGTTTGCCTGTTATTTAGAAGAGCGTATCAGAGTTACTTCAGATAAAGAAAGTTTGTACAGGTGACACCCATTTTTTTACTGACCAATCTCTTTGGGAATCTCTGAGACTGAATTACGAGACAAGTCCAAGACTATGAGGCTTTCAAAGCTTGAGATGAACTGTGGGATTTTTTGAAATCCTATTCGGTGTAACTGCCATTCTTGGATCTGTGAGAGTTGGACCAAAGCTGGAGGAAGAGTCTGCAAAAAGACCAAAACACTGAATGCAAAAAAAATAAATAAAACTTATTAAAGCCGATAGACCATTCAATCTGCAAATATGTGAGCAGTTTGATAGATGTTTTTAGCCAATTAAAACTACTAATTCTTTCAGAAGTCAAGGGTATCTAATCCTGTTCCTTGAGGGCCACCTTCCTGCAGAGTTTAGCTCCAACCTCCATTAAACACACCTGAACCAGCTTAATCAAGGTCTTCAAAATAGGTCTGGTCAACTTGAAGCTGTGCTTCACAGACTGATTGGTTTATGACATCAAAGTACCACGAGAGCGATTTGAAAGCAAGGAGCCATCTGCTCTCTATAGCTCTCATGGTACTTTGATGTCCTACACTGATCGGTTTGTGTAGCGCTGCTTCAAGTCAAACACACTTTAAATACCCAGGCAGGTGTGTTGGGGTAGGTTGAAGCTAAACTTTGCAGGAACCCCAGAAGCAGGATTGGACACCTTTGCTGTAAGTCCTGCCCCAAACCATATCCTTAGCCCAAGGGGGTCCAGTCCTGTTCCTGGAGAGTCAGTTTCCTGCAGAGCTTCAACCCTAGTTAAGCACACCTGATACGACTAGTCAAGGTCTTCAGGAGGTAAATTCTGCGGGAATGTGGCCCTCCAGGAGGAGGATTTGACACCTGTGCCAAGTGTAGGTCACTTGGGCACAAGTACATTCACTGCCCCTTTAGGACAAGACCTATTTGTATTATCAAGTCAATCATGCACCTTCCTCTCTAGTTGACAGATTTTTTTTTTTTTACTTCTAATTTGAAAGTAGCAATAAATTCACAAAGTACAAGTCACAAAATGCTTTACCTTCCACTCCTCTTTTTCAATCCGCAGAATGACACGTCCTTCCTCTGTCACAACTTTTTCCTTTAGCTTGGCCAAAGTGATACGATCCTCCCAGGCACCTGTCAACCTACGCCAAAGATTTTGAACTATTCAATATCACAGGATAGACAAAAGCATAGTCTGTGCAGTGGTTCTCAACTGGTTATTCTTCAGAGTCTAGATTTTACATTTGACATCAAGTGATGACCCAATGTGGTACCAAACCACATTGCATAGTTCTTGGTTTTCAAGGGATGAGGTCATGTCAAACAACTTTCCATGTTGTCAAATTTGACTAGCTTCTACCAAGTAACTGATGAACCATAGAGTCCGTGTGGACGCTTGAACATTGATGTTGAAAAGTATTTTGTTATCCTAACTATTCATGAATTTATGGTTAGTGTGGTCACACTTTATTTTAAGGTCCAATTCTCGCTATTAACAAACCATTAACTACAACTTTTGCCTCAAACGCCTAATTTGCTGCTTATTAATAGTTAATAAGGCAGTTGTTAAGTTTAGGTATTGGGTTGGATTAGGGATGTAGAATATGGTCATGCAGAATATGTGCTTTATAAGTACTAATAAACAGCCAATATGTTAATAATAGGCATTCTAATAAGCAACTAGTTAATAGTGAGAATTGGTCCCAATATTAAAGTGTTACCTTTAGTATTTGCACTTGGAAACCTGCAACCCTTTTTAGGTCACGACCCACCAGTTGAGAACCATTGCTTTAAAATAAGTCATTATATGCTTCCCATGGTATACATGACAGTAATGGACGTACCTACCCACTGCTCTCCTGTTTCTCTGCTCTCTCTTTCTTAAGTTCATCTTTGCTTTTCTTTATCCTGGTTTCCCAGAGACTTGATAGAGTTCACTGTCCCACAGCATACCGTGACCCCCGTCATGATGATACAGAGCCCCAAATACACACACACAGTATGCTAGGGAAGCAGATAAGCCATTTTACCGGCCAAGAAAATGCATGCGCTGCTTGTTGTTTTGGTTTGATATGATAGAGCATATTTGAATTAGTACTATGTATATGATAAGCTGTGATTGACATTGAAGAAACTGTGAGAAAGTTTGAATTAGCTTGTGCTTACCACTCTCATTGGGTCATATTGTCCTTCCAGCACCATATTTTGGACCATATTTTTACATGGTTAGCTCCTATTTGATATGGAGACGATAGTCACCAATGCTGCACCAATGGTATAATTCTTCTGACAATTTCAATCTATGATCTATGTCGAAAGAATAGGCTTTGAAGTAACGATCCGCTCAGTGTTTGTTACAGGGTTTCCCTCTTGAAGCATAACTCCGGCCAGTGTCTATATTTAACCCGAGACAACACTGAATAGTGTGGTCACATGTTAAAGTTGGCACAAGAGCAGCTGTCCACTTTTGCATACTTTACCACACCAGACATGCATTTAAGAATAGAGCGACATAACCTGATTAACAATGATGCCTAGGACCATTTCAAAACATTGCTGTTAGATATATATTTGTAAATTGTGGCTTCTGCTCTAGTAGAACGTTTTTAATGTTATACACTGAAATAAAAAATGGTGTACAGACAATTTTCACTCGGAAGTTGCTAGTAAATTTGACAATTAGAAACAGAAACAGCAAGTAACACTGAATTAAACATGAAATTCTGAAGCAGAGAAAGACTGAAATAATGTTTTCATGTAAAACATACTCCAATAATCTTTAATTAAAACCTTTTTTTGACATTTAAAATTTTCACATTTTCCCGAGTATTTACTACAGCTATACATATGCATAGCTTACTTTACACTTCAATTCCAGTTGATCAGTTACGTAGTTTATCAGTTACACTACTCTTTATACACTGCAAACAAGATGCAAACAGCAAATAAGGATCTGTTTTTATAGATATATTCAGTGAACGTGTCTGAACTTGGACTCCAGATGGTTCTACTGGAGCAGTTCACCACCGAGTCCTTCAGCTGCCCGATGGCCACATAACAGACCAGTTTATATCGATCGTTCAGCAGCTTCTTTACAGCCGTCTTAATGCAGTCAGACAGTTCCTTGGAGATGTCTGAGCATGAGCGGCTGTACTCGACAGTCTCCAGTCTTTCATCAACAATGTGTTTGATTATTTCACTAGCTCGGTCAGTGGAGACGCGTCTTTCTGGGATGGTCTGGCAGTGGATGAGCTGCTCGTCTCTGTTTGATGGGAACTTCTGGCTTCTTGGTTCCTTCTTAGTTGTCCAGGTTGAGGTGCATCTCCTCGGGATGGGGTTCTGCGATGATGTCCTGCTCTTTCTTTGAGGGTCTTCCTTGGACATTTTCCATCTTATGGTGCTTTTGCTTTTCTCTTGTGGTCTCTTCCACTGTTTCTCCTCTTTCTTATGTGAATAGATAATTGAATTTGTTACAGTCATTTGACAAATTAAAAAGTCAGTATACAGTATGAATTTACTTGCTTCTCTTTCCCTCATGGTCACCATTTATTTGAGCAGGAATACAGTAAAAACAGTAATATTTTACTGTAAAAAAAAAGATGAAAAATTGTGCTTCTTAATATTTGTGTGGAAACCTTTATACATTTTTCAGGATTCTTTGATAAATAGAAAGTTAAAATGAACAGCATTTATTTGAAATAGAAATACTTTGTAACATTATATAAATGTCTTTACTGTCACTTTTGATCAATTTAATGTGTTCTGAATAAAAGTATCTTAAAAAATAAAAACTTACTGACCCCAATGCATATTAATTACAGATCTAATAGGTTTTTATTGGTTAATTTGATTGATTTTACAAAATAAAAGACTGGATGAAGTCAGATTCTGTTAATTAAAAAAAAAAAAAAAGTTAAATCATATCTGCTATCGTATCTACTAATATTGTTTGTTTAAAATCAATTAACTCAGATTAAATCATAGTTTTTCTCATTCAGTTGCACCAAATATTAGACCATACATTTATAGTTACATTTAAGTTACTTTACATTTAAATTATTTAAGTGGGCATAGTTTTATAATAAATCTATAATCCTGATGTCAGATTGTTCTGTTAATAAAAAAATAAATACATTCAAAACATTTAATTTGCCAGCGTTTATTGTCTTATATATTTTCAATCCATTTATTCAGATTAAATCAATGTTTTTCTACTTATTCATTTGCCCCAAACTTTAAACCATATATTTATGGTGTAATGTTACATTTATTTGATCACTTTTAGTCTTACAGTAAACCTCGAACACAATTAATCCGGTTTCATTCAAATATTTTTGAGGCATCTAAGAAAGTCTTACCTGCATGTTCTTTCTGTAACAGATGCTTATCTAAACCGCTTTTAGTTTGTGCCGAAGGGATGGAGGCACCAGGCTTTAAAATTGAAGCGGAGAATGAGACACAAGCTCCACCCCCCGCTGAAGCTCTGTTTGACTTGTCTAAGGATCATAAATCTTATACGATTTACCAGCTGTGCTCATTCCGGCTCCTGGAGTTCAACTGTGTTTTGAGATGGAAAAGTAACACTGCTTACTGTGGAATATTATCATTTAAAGAGCAGTCTGCAAGCGGTTCCTCAAATGTATAATTTATTAAAACGCTTTCCTTCGTATTTCACACACTCACACAACAATCCCTCAAGGAAACTCCCATTATTCATGAGTGGCAGAACATTATGCTCCAACAAGAATCATCACACCAGAGAAGATGAGAGGACGCATCAGTACAGATTCCCCACAGCCAGTTTGAATCACATATATTTCCATTGTGCTTTAAAAACGCACTGAAAAAAAAAAAAAAAAAAAATTATATTTTGCTTCAAGAAAAGTATTTTTTTAGGAATAGCAATATTTGAAAAAGTCACAGTAATAATAATAATAATAATAATAATTCTACAAAATATAATTTCTTTTTTATTATAATTTTTTCGGGTGACATTTTCATGAGATGAACCCAGACTATTTTTAAATGTTATCCACTAACAAATATCACTTTTAAAAACCCTTGTGCAACACCATTGGAGATTTTACAGTATGTGGAAAGTTAATTTACAAAAACATCACGGGTACGTTTTCATATTGCTACACTGAGTTCATATTCTCTAACATTCAACAATACACAATACGCTCTGGTAGATGTAACATCTGATGTCAGTAAGGCAACAAGAGGAAAGAATTAAGAAGAAAAACAACAAAACACCAGTTATTAGCTTCATGACGTTGTGGAAATGTTCTTCAGTCATGATGGAAACCAATGGCTCAAACAGCTCAGTGCCCCAGTAACGAAAAATCTTTAGTGTCGGGAGACGGAGTCAAACATCTAGATGTGCTTGGAGGAAGTGTGCTTTCTATTTCAGATCCAGGACCATGGAAGCGGGGTTTTCCAGGTACGATCTCCACAGGTTGGAGAAACGACACATGGTGGCTCCGTCGATGATCCTGTGGTCGGCGGACCAGCTCACGTTCATGATGTGCGCTTTCACTACCTCGCCCTTGTGGTTGAATCGGGGCAGCACCTGTGGAGAACGCAAAAAAAAAAAGATCATGTCACTTTAAAAATTGGGCTCCGTTCTCAAATCTAGTGTGCTGCCTTGGTGCCTCTGTAGGCAGCATACTAACTGAAGCATACTAACTGAAATAAAACCTAATAAGAGACTGATTTGCAAAGTTCTATACAGGCAGGCATAAAAATTACACTGTTCGTAATCGATTCCAATTGAGTTTAGCATTAGCATGTTGCTAAGCCAACTGTACAATACTGTAGCATTCGTTAAATACATAACTATAATGCAAACAAATAGTGTAAAATTAATATTGTACTAAGTAAATAATTATGTAAATTTGCCATGTTGGCTTTGTAGGCCATTTTGTATTTTTTATATGGACCTTGTTGCAATGCATTATGGGATTGGCTAAGCATACATGTGATTCTACCTTCAATCTTGGCCAAAATGAAGTGCATCTAAAACCTTTTTTTTTTTTTTTTTTAAAGCGGGTTGGAGTGTGCCTATGTTCACAAACGTCTACAAAGTACGAAAAGACGTTACGATGCTAGCATGGAAAATTGCATACTTAAGGATGTCGCAAACTAGTATGCTAGTATCGGAACATACTACATTAATGAAAAATTGTATCACTACATAGTGTAAAATGTTATCTCTGTTGCTAACAGTGGATAATTAGCAAACCTGTGGAAATTTGTTCTCCGACATATTATAATTTGCTATGCGCTAATCCTAATCTTGCACACTACATAGTGCAATTTATATGTGACCCTGGACCACAAAACCAGTCATAAGGTTAAATTTTTCAAAATTGAGATTTATACATTATCTGAAAGCTGAATAAATAAGCTTACCATTGATGTATGGTTTTACGATAGGACAATATGTGGTCGAGATACAACTATTTGAATATCTGGAATCTGAGGGTGCAAAAAATCTAAATTTTGAGGAAATCACCTTTAAAGTTGTCCAAATGAAGTTCTTAGCAATGCATATTACTAATCAAAAATTAAGTTTTGATATATTTATGGTAGGAAATTTACAAACTATCTTCATGGAACATGATCTTTACTTAATATCCTAATGATTTTTGGCATAAAAGAAAAATCTATAATTTTGACCCATACAATGTATTTTTGGCTATTGCTACAAATATACCCAAGTGACTTAAGACTGGTTTTGTGCTCCAGGGTCACATATGTAAAATGGAATTTTAGCACAAAACTTTACACACCTGGATCTTCCCAAGAGCACCGATGGCAACCTCGGGCGGCAATATGACCGGCTTTGCATAGGTTCCTCCAATCTTTCAACAAAAACAATTAACGTTAATTTTATGTCATTTCCATGCATAGCTATACAATTAGCACTACATCACGGGAGCAAGCAAATGTCAACCTGCAGTTCTCAACTTACCGATCCAATGTTTGAGAGCGTGAACGTTCCCCCCGTGAGGTCAGCGGTCCCCAACTGCCCTGCCGCTCCCAACGTCTGCAGGCGGTTGAGCTCCACTGCGAGTTCAAATACGCTGAGCATCTGTACGTTCTTGACGTTGGGTACCAGAAGACCTTGATTGGTATCCATCGCCAGTCCAATGTTATGAGCAGCCTGGAGCAGGACGACCATTTAATGTGAACCTCAATTTCATCTGAAATATCTTTATTATAGATGGAAACATTACCTTATAGGTGATATTTGTGCAGTTTTCATCCAAAGAAGAGTTGAGAATGGGAAAATGGAGGAGACCAAGAGATGCTGCCTGTTTGTGAAGAAGATAGTTATATTAAAACCAGGTTTATTTGGAGTTTTTTAACCCCACAAATCACTTTCATACCTTGATGAAGAACGGCATGTAGCTGAGCTTCACTCCTCGCGACTCTGCCAGGCCTTTTAGCTCGGAGCGCAACCGGACCAGCTGGCTCAGATCCACTTCATCTTTGAAACCAAAGTGAGGGATCTTCAGGGCTGCTGACATAGTCTTAACCATTGCCTTCTGAAAGCCTTTGTTTGGAAAAAAAAAATCAATAAAAATTGTGCTGTTCACACTTAATTTAAATGTAATGTTAGCATGTTGCTAAGCTAACTGCGCATTACTATAGTGTGCGATACAATACAAAAATATTGTGTAAAATTAACTACATTGAACTACTAAAATTAACCATGGTTTTATTATAGTAAAAATGTAGTAACCATGTTTTTTGGCATATTGATTACCATTTGTATAACCACAGTTTTACTACAAACACCATGGTTAAACTATGGTTAGTGCAGCAAAATTATGGTTCATTTGTGGTTTCTTGGTTTTATTTGTAGTAAAACCATGGTTAATTTTCGTAAGGTCAGAATGTATTATGTGATTTAGTAAGTGTGCAAGTGATTCTGCCTTAGAGCAAAATAAATACAGTTGAAAAAGTCTTAACTACTGCCCTCTTTATTTAAAAAAAAACAAAGGTCGTGCAAATTGTGATGTTCAAAACTGATTTCAATTGAGTTTAATGTTAGCATATTGCTAAGCTAAATACTGTAATATGCATTAAAATACATGACACACAAAAATTGTGTAAAATTAACTAGTTAATTTATTAATATTTTACTTTACTGAGTGAATAATTATGTAAAGTCATCATATCGGCTTTGTCGATCATTCTGGATTTTATATGCTGAACTTGTCACAATGCATTATGGGACTGGCTAAGCATACACGTGACTCTGCCTTAGAGCCAAAGTTTATCGCTTACATAGTTTTAACCACTGCCTTCTGAAAGCCTTTGTAAAAAAAATGTAAATAGCGCTGTTCACAATAGATTTCAAGTGATTTTGAGTTTATCGCTAACGTGTTGCTAAGCTAACGTTAAAATGCATAACACAAACGAAAATTGTAAATGACCTATATTTAACTACTCTCATTAATATATTTCTGCACAGAGAGAAAAATTACGTAAGATCATCATATCGGCTTTGATTACACTGACCTTGTCGCAATGCATTATGGGATTGGCTAACCACGCATTTGATTCTAGTCTTAACCATCACCTTCAGAAAAGCTTCATTAAAATAAAAAACTTTAAATTTCATTACAAATTTGAATTCTGTCTTAGAGCAAAAAGTTACTGCGGACAAAATTTTATCCATCGCCTTCTGAAAAACGTAAAAGATTTTCATTCAGCATTTCAGTGAGTGAATCAACTTACAAATCGAAACACACAAGCAAACAAACCTTTAATGGGTTCAGTGTGGTCTTTGCCTGTGAAAACGGGTTTAGGGATCGCAGGAGTGGGTACACTAGGTGGAGTCATCTTCTCTTTGGGCTTCGCAGCTGGAGCCAAAGGTGCTGCGGCCGCAGGAGGGGGAGGACGAATCTCCTGGAAGGGCGCTGGGGGTAAGATGGCCCCCGTCTGTCCGGCTATGAAGTTCAGGATGTCTTCTTTGAGAATACGGCCATCTTTTCCAGTGCCGACGACTTCACTTAATTTAATCTGCGAAGAAAATATTTTAATGCAGATGGATCATTTTTGTGAATTTCGTTATGGAGAAACAGCATAAAAATCCCTAGTAGATCCAATTTGCTACACACCTCCCCCCTCCCCCTACTTGTGGCCATAGCAAAGACTCTAATTTCTCCAACTATGTGATGCTGACAGGCTAGCCATTTATCTAACGCTCTTCAAAGAGGATGTATGACCGGCGTCTATATAGAAACAAGGTACATCTCATGACCCTGATTTATAAGGCTACTGCACTGCCTAGCAACTTCCAGTGCTGTGCAAGAGTTCATGACCCCTGATGACAATAACTAAAGATCACCTCCATCCGCTGCTGACGCCACGCACTGTTTGATTTCAGCAGGCCCCCCTACCCTAACATCCTACGTTCAAATCTACTTTAAATGACCCTATAATGCTTTGGGAGAAATCGAATATTCAGTGGGAAATGATATATGGCAGGGCTTGATTTAATGCCTCAGGATTTGATTTATTTTCTTTTTTTCATTCATAATGTGATGTATTTCTGAGTTTCTGAGAAACATAATAATAATAATAATAATAATAATAATAATAAAAATGGTATTATATACATATATTTTCCATTAAATATCCTGATCAATTGCATTGGATTATGAAAAAACTTTAAAGCTATGGTCTTCATGGAAGACACACAAATATATATATATATTTTCATACATTATATAGATAATCATATTTTAATTTTATAATGTGATTCAGTTTTGTTACTGTCAACTAAAACTACTATATACAGACATTTTTAAAAAATCTAATAAAACTAACAAAGTATTTTTAAATAATACATATATTTTTATTTTATGATTAAAAGTATTTCTGAGTTAAACAGAATATTCAATGCAAAGGAAATGTTGAGGAAAAAACAACTATAATATAATTTATATGATTTAATATTATATATGGTTGTATTTTATTTTTATAATGTAATGTACACACTTTTACCTAAAACTTAACTACAAATATTAAAAATTATTTTGGTTATTTGAAATAAAGCTAAATTGACAAAATATAAATATTACATGAGAAACTTAAATGTAAAAACTTAAATATTAATTGGCAAAATTGACTTGGCAACTTACTGAAACAAAATAAGTTTAAGCACAAAAATTACTCAAACTGAAATTAGAATTTCAGTTAAAAAAGGTAAATAAAAATATTTTTAAAAGCAAAAACTAATAATAATGACAACAGCACATAACAAATTAACTAAAACTTAAACTAAAATTACAATCAAAACTGAAATTATAAAAAATAAAGCAAATTCAAAATATTAATAAATACTATAATACTATTTAAATACTAAAATAACACTGGATGTATTTCGAAGTTAATTTATATACATAATTGATATACAGTATATATATATATATATATATATATATACAG